TTTAATATTAATTGATGGGGAATGAGGATCCCCACGGGGAACGGGGACGGGGGGCAAAATTTACCACCCGTCAAAAATCTCCACGGGAATCCCTGTCCCTGCCGTTCGCAGGAACGGGGACGGGGAGAGACTCTCCGACTCCGCGGGACCCCGTTGACATCCCTAGCTGAACTGGCTAAGAGATTGTCCAATGTCTTGTTCCTTAAGGTAGATATTGTTCAGTTGAAGGTAATGAATTTTTCTTTTTGGGTTTTCCATGAATAAGGGGAAGCTTGAGAAGCGAAGATGCTGATTTGTTAATTTTTCTTGTTTGCAGCAAGTTGCTGAAGATTAGGAAGTGGATGCAATGCCAACTTTCATTTTCCTGAAGGAAGGAACTGTCCTGGACAAGGTGGTGGGAACAAAGAAAGAGGAGCTGCAACAAACTATTGCAAAGCATACGGCTAATGTTTCTGCCTAAGGATAGTATTATTAATATATAAGTTGATCTCATTTGTGGGGGAATCTGTCAGACCCCTTTAGTTTGCATCATAATCTTTGGAGTCACTTAAAAAATTATGGATATTATTAAAGTTTATTCCTTGGTTTGATGATTTTATCAAAAATTATATACTTATAATATCACAAAATCTTTATTATGATGTATTATTATATGATTTATTATTTTCACATAAAAATCCATTCGTAATATTATATGCATCACTAATATTTAACAACACCCTTAACACGTGATATTGGAATTATAACATTTCTGATTTTATTCGCTGCCCAAAAGTTAGGGCCGGTGGTTTATGAGAAAGCATTGTGTTGTAATGATCCCTGCTTGAACTTGGTTTACGTCTAGAAACTGTCATGGTGCCCTGTAACATTATTTGAGAATTGAAAACAAACTCCAGAAAGCACAGAGAACACATCAACTCTTCAATTTTCATTTAAACAATCGGTCATACTAGGATTTGCTCCCAACATTTTTTTCCCACAAATACAGCTACAAAGGAAAAATGCACACCAATACAAATCATCTCCCTTTTTCCAGTGGCCTGTGTCAACATCCGGTTAAAAGGCCGGGGAGTGCAACACGAGCCTGAACTCACCCTGGGATCTAAATTGCAGAAACCCAAGTGTTAAAACACTCATCTATCATACAATCACTAATTTACATTAGTCTACTAACCTCACTCAAATTAAAATTAACTTAAAATCACTGCCTATAGAACTAAACACTCTTGGCCACACAGTTCTCTATTTGGAAGGCTACAGAACTCATCCTAATCTAACAGAAAACCTTTCATCTATACTCCTTTTACTTTTGCCTTCTCACTTGCAATGCTGATGATGTATGGTAAAATTACCAGATGGGATTAACTTAGGAGTGGTTTTATCTACTTTTCAATGTAATTAACCCCTCCAGTTCGATTGCTCAGTTGTAGAAGTTAGAGGAGCACAAACAGCTTCGACTGACAACTTTTTCAGCACATTAGGACATGGGTCTTGCCCAAAGTTACTATTGGCTATGGCAACTGCACATCTCTGCTTCCCTATGCAATTCTGTAAAAGAATATGAAAAATGGTGAAAAATGTATTCATGATACTTAATTTATAGTGGAGAGTTAAGTCTGAGTACCCTCTCTAAGATGTCATATGAGGCAGGAGCATGACAAGTCCCTTGCTGGTAGCTACCACAAGTTCCCAAAGGTGTTCCAAAGCTTGCGAATTTAATGGAAGAAATGGCCTGACCAGGACTACAGTGCAAGTGAACCTTAGGTCTGTGTACCTCTTCTGCCTTTCCATTGCTTTCAATGTGCCAGTTCTTAATTGTTGGGTGATACTCAGAGACCTCAGCACAAACACTGGCCACAGATCTTTTCACAAGAGAGATTCTTGACGGATTCCCTCCAAGTTCCTCAAAAATTACCAATAGATTTTGTGTTGGTTTCAACCAAGACCTCGGAACATGATACCTGAAAATATATTTTGTAGGGATTAGATGATGAAAAACTTTTACATGTTATGCCATGGCACTTCTTATTTTCACATCCTAAATTTTGCTATTCTTTTATTCAAAGAGGGATACCATCGTTGGGTTGGTTGGCCACAACCAAGCTGACACTTGGGTGGTCGGAATGCCCCAGCATAGCTACAGCCATTGCAGTCACCATTTGCATATGCAGTCCAATATCTGCCTATACTTTGCCCATTAATCCATATTTGACCCTTTCCCATACCATCCATGTCCAAAGCCAATGGTTCATCTCCCTCAGGTGCATTGAAATAAGCCTGTAAAGTTGAAGAGAACCAGTTTGAATTTTCAGAAACCATGGCTGATTTGCAACCACATCAAGTTATATTTTCCATTTTATGCACCTTATGCCATCTCAATGGCTGTGGCCTCTGTGCAGCCAATGATCCCTCCATCCACTCAACAGAAGAAATTCCATTTGGAGAAACAAGATTCATTGCCTCTCCTTTAAGCCCAACCTGTTCAACAAGGCAGTGATGAAGTGAATATTTTTGGAATCAGTACAAGCATTAATGGTAACAGAAAACGAGGTTTCAGTTGGGAACCTGGTAGGTCCATTTTGCCCAGGATAGATCCCATTTTCCCTGGTCAAGTCCATGAAGTGCAACAGGACCCAGGATTCCTGTGCTCCATGTCTCAAAATGCCCACCAACATTCTTCATGTCCAGAAAACAAGCACATGTCACAAATACAATACAGGACAATAATTATACCATCAGTTTGTCATCTTATATAATAAATTCAAACCAACTAGAATTTAATAATTACGTGGTTATGCAGCTTGCATAATTAAACGAGTGGAAAACCTAATGAACACCAGTTCTATGATTGCTTAAACAATGACAGATTCTAAATCTTCAATCATTTTTCCCATTGAAAGGAGATTATGTCTGGACCATGAATCTCCAACAAATGTTTTCATTGCTTGAACCATGAAACAGTACCGATGGTTAAAGGTCTCTAACCTGCAATCCAACAGCAACACTCAGCAGTGCAATTCTATTGGTTCCAGCATGCAGATTGACCTTCCCAGTATATGTAAATCTCCTATTTTCTCTTGTACCATGGGCAGATCCTATCACACAAGTCAAGATTGTTATTGGGGATCAACCAAAAAGGCATTCCGGAAAAACAAGCAATATATTATGTACCTGACAGCTGCCCATTAATGAAGACATGCAAAGCGTGGCCTGTTGATTGAACAATGAGAGTTGGGAGTTCCCCTCCATGTAGAAATGACTCGGATGAACCAATATCAACACTGTAGCCACATTTAATAGACATTATTACAACATCTAACTACAAGACTTTTCCAAGTATTTCAACAAATTGTATCACTAAAAATCTGTATTAAACTACAATCATACATTAAAGTTAAGAAGGAGAACATTAACTGAAGAATTAAAAAGTATAAGACACAGAAAACACGATTAAACTCAATCACTTGGGAGATCATCCTCACCTAGTAATGTACCACAGGTAATCACTCGTGTCTCTTGTGACATTTATCTGCTCCAAGAGACCAAGAGCAGTCATTGTTGAGCTGTCATCTAGAGAAGAAGTATCTTCATCATAACTCTCCCATGAGAAGATCTCAGCATTTGTTGGCAACATCTGCATTTGTGATGTCTGAACTCCAATCTGAAAGTGAAGGAACAAGACTAATTGTCAAGTACGAAAGTCTTTAATATCCTATAGGACAAATCTTATGTCCCTAAAGTTATGCCTCAATTCTAATACTACTGAACTGGTAATACAGAATTTCAGTCATTCCAGGAAATCCTTACCTTAGCAGTATTAAAGACTACATTTCTGCAATCAGGAAGGATGCTGATTGACCAAGGAGGCAAGTTATAGTGCATGTTGTTGAATAACACTCTTGCAGCAGAATTTGTATCATAGTTGGACAGAAAAGCTGCACAACCTCCTGATTCAGAACTGTATACATATGCCTGAAAAATTCCAAACATTGACAGGAGTCAGCAAAAGGTGAAATATCATCCAACTGATGCAAGAAAAGGAATATGAGAGTGGAAGCAGAAACCTGTTGGGAGCTCCCTAGTGAAGTAACAATTGGATCTGCTGAAACCAAAGCCCGCTCACACATCTTAATAGACTTATGAAGCTCCTTTAGATGACCATACTTTGGCTGCCGGATCAAGCCTGTCAAATTTTCACAGAAAGTAGGTAGTCATATTTCCAAACTTAGCAGACACTAAGCAAATGCAAATAACAATGCTGGATGGCCTAGGCTTTTGTCATTAACTCACATGGTAAAAGGATAGGCTTAAGAGTTAATATAGTTTCTGATTCAAGTATTAATGAGCAAAAGGGTATGTTAACAGAAGGCATTGAGCATTTCGGATGTGAATTTATCTTCTAAGTTCAAATCTTAATTTTCTGAAATACAACTACAAATCTCCTGGTGCCAAAATGAATCCAGGATATGTTGTAAAGTTATTCATGCAAAAATGCATTACAATCCAGTAAGATCTAGTCATAAGAATCCTCGAAGTGGGACTTTTCAGCACAATAAACTCTTTACGAAAAAAAAAAAAAGGGTATATGAATTTCATTTCTCACCATATTCATCTAATGGAGCATCATAATCATAGCTTGTGGTGATGAAAGGACCTCCAGCTGTACGTCCAAAATTGGTTCCTCCATGGTACTGTTCAAAATAATGGACAAAGCAGCAAGCTTATGCACCAATTCAGCTTTAATCCCATTTTAGATCATCAATACCTTTAAGTGAAGAAAAAACCAACCATGTAGTAGTTAACAAAGGATCCTCCACTTTGTATGAATCGAGCAACAGCAAATGCCAAATCTTCCACTGGCCGCTGGTGAATTGGACCGCCAAACTCCGTGAACCTTTTTACAAAAAGAAGCCATTAATGACTGATTTAACCATTCATGGTAAATTTTTCTAAAATGGATATCATAAACTAAAGAGATACACTTACCATCCACTCCAAGCCTCTGTCCAAATTGTTGGCTTGTAAGGTTTGTTGGGGGTGAATTGATGACAGTAGAAACCATTGCAGGTGTTTATCTGTCACCAGTGCCATGAAACTTCCTTAGGCAATCCCATTATATGAAGAGTGAATTCATTGAGATTGTGAACAAGCACAAGTTGCAGTCCACATTCTACATTAATTTGGGGTTCTGAGATATATATTCTATTCTATTCTATGCTGAACTTTACAGTCCAACAGAAAACAAAGAGCAAAGAGACATAACTCAAAGGCAAAATGAACTCAACTAGAATTAAGGATTGTTCTTCAAAAAGTCAACCAGGCCAAGGAAATCTAAATAAAGATCTAGTGGCTTTTTACTTACTACTGGATCCGGAGCATCATC